GAAATGCTAGGCCAAGAGCCCACCCCCTGTGTCCTTCTCCTTCGGCCTCACGAGAGTCTAAGACGGGGAGCTGGAGCTGGAACTGGGGCTGGATCTCCCCCGATGGGCAACGCCTCACGGTGGGGGCTCCCACAGCACTCACGTGTGGAGGGCAGGCATGGTGGTCGTGGGTCCCATCAGGTGCCGGATGGCGGGCTGGAAGCCTGGGGCCTGGGCTGGAAGCAGGGGAGGCCATCCGGGGTAGCCCATCGGGGGCAGAGAGGCAGGGAGAGCCTGTAGGCCTGGGGGGCTGTAATGGTGATGATGGTGTACTGCAGAAGCCCTCGGCTTTTCAGCTCGGAATGCCAGCTGTGGATCCTGAGCACAGAAAGTGACCACGAAGGGAAGTCCTCAAAACCCCCTTTTCTTGGACAGCTACGTGGCTCAGCGGATAGAGCTCTGGCCTTGGATTCAGGAAAACCTGAGTTCAAATCCATCCTCAGACACTTGACCCTTACTAGCTGTGTGACCCTGAGCAAGTCACTTAACCCTGACTACCTCACCAAAAAGAAAAAAGAAAACATAAATAAATAAAACCCCTTTCTCTTGCAGTAGGTAAAAGGCTCAGCCATGAGGAGAGGAGTGATGGTCCCAGGCCAGTGTGGCCCACCACTCCAGGTGACACAGATAAGCCCAAGGGACCCCAGGGAGCACTGTTACCATGTATAGAAGGAGGCCGAGAAGGGGAAGGAGGTTTTGTGAGCTGCTCAATGTCCAGATGGGGCAGGATGGGTGGGAGCTGCCCTCTGGCCAGCAGGAGAAGACTTTCCCTGTACTGATGCCCTTCTCGGATTCTATCACCTCCTGCCAGGAGACTCTGGGCAGGCAGTTTCATCTCTGGGTGACCTGTAGCAGGAGGGGGTTGGCTCGGATGGCCCCCACAATCCCTTCTGGCTCCAGGTCAGTGAACCTTTGAACCTATCTGGGTGACTTTGGGTCTGAGCCTCAGTTTCCTCCTCTATAATGTGAGGGCACCACTACTAGGCCAGAAGAGATGGGATTTCAGGTTAATAGTGGGGCTCCTGCTGGGACTTCAATCTGTCCACCTCTAAACCGATGAGCCAATGACCCTGCTTGTCACCAACCCTCGGTCCTGGAAGATGAGGCCGGAGCAGCCGAGCGCAGGCCCAGTGATGCGGCAGGCTGTCCATGAGCCAGCGTCCTTCAACTTGGGGAGAAGGGTCTGCTCTGCAGACTCAAGGTGACCTTAGACCTCTGAGGGCAAGCGCCATTTTGGTTTTGTCTTTGAAAGCTTGGTGTCTAGTAAAATTCCCAATACAAAGCAGATACTTAAAAACTACATCCTGAATTCAGTGGGGTTAAAAATGGATCCAGCGCTTTAAGATTTGGAAAGCACCTTACATAGATCTTCTCCTTTGAACCTTGCAAATACTATGTTAAGTAGGAGCTCTTAGTAGCCCTATTTTACAGTTGAGAAAACTGAGGCTGACAGCGGTTAGTGACTTGCCCAGGGTCACACAGCTAACAAGTGTCCACGGTGGGATTAGGAGAGTACCCTAACTGAAAACACAAGAGCATCGCTGGGAAAAGGGGAGGTGGAATGCAGTGTTCAGAAAGCT